GAGGAGAGAGGTATCACTTGATCAGTTCTTTCCATATGTACAGACCACACGGTACACACAGTATATAAAGAAGACCTGGTGGAGCCTGTGTTATCATCTATATATTTAGTTAGTAGTCAGGCATCTCTTAGTAATAACAGAATAATCCATAGGAGAGTAATAATAGAAATAGAATCACTTGAAAAAATGGAGTGACCTTTTAGATTGTGCCACGTGCTGGGTAAATCTATTCATTTCATTGGATTTCAGCCCTAATTAGGGCCTGAGTCTGGTCTCTCACTGTTTTTGCACCCATGCACCAGCTGATTTCAGTCGAGATCTTCTTGACTTACACCAGTCGTCACCATCAAGCTCTAAATGTCTTACAGGTATTATGAGGTACCCAGGCCACAAGAGGAAGGCAATGCAACTCGAGTCATTTTTTTCCCCCGAATCTGGTTTAAATAACAAGCACATGTAGAATTTCTTGGGCAAACCCGTGCGTTTTTTCAAGACGGGTTCTGTTCCCCATTAGGAAGTGTGTTCTTCTGAGCAAATTGCAGATGTACAGTTTTGATGTTCTTTTGTCTCAAAAATATGGTCACAATTATATGATTAAAAAGTCTCATGTAGCAACATGTACCCCTGTTTTGGAGATGCATGCTTCCCTTCCTCACCACCTTTCTCGCATCATTGCAGCGTGTTCAAATGCATTCTTCAGTTCCTACGCCTTTCAGTCCTGGGCCTGGACTTTTATCGTAGATATTCATATATGTCTCAGCCAGGCCCATTACACCCGTCACTGAAAGCTGCCAAGCAATGGTGAGGAGCCCACGGAGAGTCAGTCCACCAACTGAGTTCACTGCCTCCAAATTATTTATTGATTTATTTTTTGGTCCTTGCAGGCTGCAGCATTTTTCAGAGCCAGTAGAGTGATTTTCCATAAATAAATCTAGGAGGGTAGCAGACAGACGGATGACCATTAAATATAATGGGAAACACCGAAGGATCATTTTAAACTGAGAAAATTAAATTGCAGCAATGGAAATTGAGGTGCGATATTAGGAAGAACTTTCTAAGGATGAGACTGGGACAGATTCCCAGAGAGGTCATGGGATTTGTGTCCCTGGCATACAGGTATTCATTTAAACATCTGTGTGTAGTGGTTTAGAAAAGGAGGATCCGGCTGTGAGCAGAGACCTGGACCTTTTGAGTACACCACCAGTGCCATGTCTCTAGGACAGGGGCGGGCAATTATTCTGGACAGAGGGCCGCTTACTGAGTTTCAGCAAGCCATCGAGGGCTGCATGACAGGCAGCCAGGGCAGATTAATATTAATTTTCTAAATTTTTAGGGGCCCTGCAGGCCGCATTTTTCCCACTCCTGCTCCAGGAGCCTCTGAAAACAAAGAACACCGGCTCTCCGGAATGGATCCTGTGGTGTAATGGGAGAGGGGGAAAAGCAGAACTTCAGCTTTGACTTTCTGGTTGCGTGGCCTGGGGTCCACAACCAAAGTTGGCATCTCCTGCCGGTGTTTTAATTCAAGCTCTGAAATACATGGCTTATTGTCCTGCCCTGGAAAACTGACCTCATGAACTTCCTAACATTTAGGAGAGCAGAGATCTTGCAGCCAGAGCTTACACTGCCTTCATGCAATCCAACCCAAATCCCGGGTTGGCAGCACGGGGGCTTGCTCCCACTCCCGAATCCTGGCCTCACCTCCAGCAGGAGGGACCCAGAGACGTGCAGCGCTGGTTCCAACGAGAGGAGTCGAGGAAACAGCTTTTTCTTTGGGCATCAACTGGACACCGGGACCGGCTTCGTTTAGCGCAGGGGTGGGCAAAATGCGGCCCAGGGGCCGGATGCGGCCCGCCAGGCCATTCTATCCAGCTCGCGGGGCCCCTGAAAAATGTAGAAAATTAATATACATCTGCCCCCGGCTGCCTGTCATGCAGCCCTCGATGGCTTGCCAAAACTCAGTAAGCGGCCCTCCGCCCAAAATAATTGCCCGCCCCTGGTTTAGCGAGACAGGATGAAAATACATTTTTTTTCTCTACTGATGAATGCAGTTTTCAAAGATTGCTTATTAGGGTCCAGGAAAGATAGTGTTCCTAGAATTACCTTCAAAAGCCCCAAATGGCCTTTTGGGCAGGTTCTGCGTAGGTGCCAGTGTACAGCAACTCCGAGTGCTTTGCCTGGTTGCAGATCTCTGCGGTGAGTTCAAACCTCGGCCATGCCCCCTGGGGAATATTCCTTCATCTACCCCAGGGAAAGCAGATGGATTTGTACACATCCAAAATAAACGCGAACCATCCAGCCTTCGGTTTCACTTGCTCGATACAATCTCGGAAACAATAGTCGACATCCCTGGCACTGAGACAGCTCCCTAACGAACGAACAGCGACGTGCTGCAAAACACACGTCCCTCAATAAATCCTTCTTTTATAGAGATTTCAATGGGGGTCTTTGAAGAGCCCACCCGTCTGCAGTTGGCACCCAGCTCATTATCAATGCCAGAAAAAAAGAAGATTGGATTTGTGGGCTCCATGACTTTGGACATGAATAGGTCACCAGATGCGCCACGCCTGGCATTTTGGTGTCTCGAGTAAGAGAACTACCAACAGGGCCAATCCTGGTCAACACTGCTGTAGTCAGAAGGGCTTATTTTGCATGAGCTGGTAGCCAACCCCTTTTTCAAAGCCGCCCATGTGAAACGCAGCCTGCTCTACCCCCGTCTGGGGAAGTCGGGGGTCTGGTCCCCGCAGTTGGAAATCCTGGCAAACCGAGGCCCCCTGAAATACTGGTGAGCCAGGAAGAGCACATGCACCCGCCCCCGCCATGTCTTCCGCCTGCCCAAGGGTTTTTACGCCCAAACGCTTGCCAAGAATTTCCCCAACTCTTTGAGTTAGCCTCATAAAAGATTGACCCAAAGAGCCTGGTCTGCCCAAACTCCTCCCGGCACCCCCTAGCGCATTGCTAGCTTAGCGCGAGCGATCTTGTAGCCACGGCAGTCCTGCGGGAGGCGAGGGTTTCTCAGGGGGTATCTCGTGTTGGACCAGCTCTGGGGTCAGGGTAGAGTTCGAGCAGCTTTGGCTAAGCCAGAGCTTCTCCTTCAGGTCTGAGCAGTAAAAGAGTAGGGCAGACCTGCCAAGGAGGAACAGCTGGTCTGAGTACCCCAGCTCCATCCTCTGCCCAAGAAAGATCTAGCCTTGCAGTGGCCTTTCCCTCCCCGTCCCCTTCAAGGAGGCGCAGCACGCCGCAGGACAAGGGGCCAGCTCCAGGCAGCAAGCAGCTCCCCCGGGGAGGCGCTCACAGAAACGGCTGGGCGATTCCTCCCCCCCCTCACCGGCCAGGAGAGAAGGCAGAGCCGTCCTCCGCTCCCCGCCCCCGGCAGGTGCCCTTGGGCCGGGGGCGCGGAGGCGGGGAGGAGCCGGCGGCCCTTCATTAGGG